ATGATGACTCAAACGTGCTTCTGTGCAACTGAGATCGTAATTAAACCCAGGGAAGAGCAGGCGCCTTTATATACCTCTTGTGGGAAAGCTCCTAGAATGTTCTACAAGCATAGCATGTTACGGCATGTTCGAGCATCAAGAGTCATAAGCTGTAAGCTGTTCAAAAAACACTGGACAGGACTCTAGCAATCTCCAAGTTCTCCATTCTTGTAACCTCGGCATGATGTCGAATATGTAGTTATTTCTGCCAAACGAGGTTATTAGATAGAACCTTTTATTGGCCCGACGTTTCGACCTTCTCGTCTTCTTCAAGAGGCCTGAAAATGGCTCGAAGCTTTCAATTTGTCACCTACCCGATCAAGCGCCTTCCCACTCTAGCGTTTCCGACGTCGGTCGGGGGTTGCGGGACACGACGTCCGAAGCTAGAGTGGGGAAGGCGCTTGATCGGTAAGTGACAAATTGAAAGCTTCGAGCATTTTCAGGCCTCTGAAGAAGACGAGAAGGTCGAAACGTCGGGCCAAATAAAAGGTTCTATCTAATAACCTCGTTTGGCAGAAATAACTAAATATTCGACTGACCAAGACTTTCTTTCCAGTATAATACATCCGAAGAATAGCTCTAATCACAACCCCATACAGCAGACCACACCATACTTCGCGACTGCGCGATTCCCCAATTTCGCGGCATGCTCCTCCGTTGATCGTTGGAACTAGAAATGTTACACCAGCCATGAGATTCATATAGGCTTAGAAAAAGAGGCGGCTCATAGTACTCCGGAAGTTGCGCGCTGAAACTGAATGTGAATCTCTGTGAATGCCAAAGTTGGGCAAATTTCCTAGGCCGATTTACTGACCCAGCTCCGGAATGGGGTAGCGAGAGCGACGCTAATCCCTCTTTGCACCTGGCCACTAGGCGAGAACTGAGTGGTGTTCTGTGCACCAGCTACTCCCACACACTCATTTCTACGCACAGTTCGGGGTACTGTTTACCACCTGTATCCCCGTACTCATAATTTAGTACACCAATCACATTTAAAATGGAACATCTGGTCGTGCAGCGAACCAGCCTTTGGCGGTGAAGTGCGAAAAGGCTTGGTCATGCAATTCTTTCTTCCCAATATTTGACAGCTCCAGTCCCAAATTACGAGCTTCCAACTTTTGTAACCCCCACTTTTTTGAACCCACTAACGTTAACACGTTGATGACAAGCCATTTTTCTCATGAGTTGCACGTGGGACGGCACATTTTTCTTTGTTGAAACTTTGTGATTTCTAAAGAAATGAATGAGTTCGATCAAAAAGTATCAAGAAATGCAGCAGAGAGCATACGAATCTCGAATCTTTGACACATTTTGGTTTTTATTGCTCCAATCTTTCAAAAACAGGCCATTTTTTTTACAAAATTCTTTCTATGGAGACAGAGTTGGCTGAACATTTGTTTCCCGTAGCTTGACCTGAAGATGAATATCGCACCCCCTTGACCCGAAAACAATTGTCCTTAAACTAATTTTTTAAAAGAAAATGAAACGATGATCTAGACATTTTGGCGCCGGCACCTGTGGCGCGGGCGCCAGGCAGTTCGTGCCAAGCGACTGTGGTATTCGTTTCAAAAGTACAAGCTACCTCTAGGGATACTTTTCCAGCTAACTTGGCTGTTCGTACATCTTTATTATTAGAACAGTACAGTGGCAGACACCATTACCTGCCATCATCCCACGAGAAAGACTGGCTGTCAGCCACCATTGTCTGCCATCGTCAACGTGTTAAAAAAGGAAAGCTTGCACTTGACAGTTACTGTTGAGTGCATACCCAAAACGGCGAGAGCTCGAGAGCTAATTGCTCGCATCACCATTGGCCAACTAGGTGACTGCTTAATCTTTTAGTTGGGAGTCCCGCTGCGAAATAGGTGGGCGCAGGCAGATAATGCGCAGGTGTACGTCGTATGGCGCAATCGCACTCTCGTTGATGCATCATGATATGCCATGGGACTCGTTTTCCAGGCAAGGCGACTGTTACCTAACCACCTAGTCCATTCCCTTAGCTCATCATACTGTGCAGAAGCGTACGCCAGCGTAAAACATCAAAGTTCGGTAGCGTAGGAAAGTATAGATATCGACCTAGCGTTTGCCAGCGTTCCACTAGCGTTCGCTAGCGTTTCACTGGCGTACGCTAGCGTCGCGATGGCACTAGCGTTTGCCAGCAGCGGGGAATAGAGTACGGGGCGGTAGGAGAGTAGCGAACGACTCGATTAGGCGTCGCTGCTCTCCTTCTGTCCTATACTCCCCGGCGTGTGCAAAACCGCACGCGCTACTAGACATACCGTACCCAAAAATGGTTGAATTGCATAATGCACACAGTGGAATTCCCACGCGACGGTGGGGCGGTCCCACGGCCACGCTGGTGAGCGGTCCGACGGTTGCGTGTCGGTGGAAAGAAGCCAAGGGGAAGACTCAAGAGCAACGTGCTGCTTCTGCAATCTCCCTCGAAAGCCGCGCAATCCCACCAATTATGAATATGAAAGCGGTCTAGCGCTTGTTAATTTAAAGTCTTTTTGCGGCTTTGGAGCTGGACTCGCGCCGATGCAAAAATTTACGCGGATTTTAAATTAATCTACATTTGCTTGAATTTTTTTACGTACAGTTTATTTACATCTAAATCAGCTGCTCTTCAATTTCCCGTTAGCCTTCATCTTTATCGTCTTCGATTTTGACTTTGCAGCATGAGGAGTTTGCGTTTTAATCGTATTCCAAAGTGCAATTACATGTTTTTGCAAAAAGCCAATAGCGCTGCGCGGACTGCCCTTAGTATAAACGGAACCGGGATATTATAGCGGTGGGCGTCCAGCAGTCTGCTCCGCAAGATGGATTTTAGGCGAATTTCAGGACCCGGGACCGTGATGGGAATTAGCCCATCACGGTCCTGGGTCTTCATCCCCACGTATGTTCGGGCGCGGAAACCGCTAAGCATCGACAGCTGGGGGCTCGTTAGCCCCGGAGCCGCACGTGGCAGCTGAGCGTACGATGCCTTTAAAAGCACGGCCCGCAATCCGCCGATATTCTCTCCCTTCGTGAGCAGTAGACAGGCCCGCAGAGGCAGCGATTGCACCATGTTTGCGGCGCAAAGGTAAGGGAGGACGTGGAGACATTGTCGTTCCTCTCATTGGCCCGACCCATTTCCACTGACCCCATCCTGCTACCGATAATGATCGAAGACCCGCTAAAGAACGTCGTCGGAGACATTTTATTGGGGCATTTGCGACCATTTTTTTCTGTTTTTTTTTCGCACTCTTTACTTTGTTGACATCTTGGCATCGCTACTTCAGCATCACTACCCAGAATATCTGATCGCGGGCTTTGCCTCTGATGACGTGGTTCCCCAGCGGGTAGAATGCATCCTTGTAAAGGCAGTCCAGCCGCAATCTCACGATTTTGTCTCATCTTACGGCACCCTGTGGCCATCACCAGCCGATGGAATGCCCCAGTGCGCATTCAGACTTCCAATCGCCTGGCTCGCGCGATCGGACCGCTCGAGCGATAGGACAGCGTGGTCATAATAGGGGGAGGGGGCTCTACCATCAAATAATGCTCCGTCACAACAGCAGACTCAAATTGGGTGGTTTTCACATAGTTCAAATCAGTCCGTTGCGGCGGTGCAGCACCCCATCTTGATCGCGCGATCCGCGCTACTGAACGAAGTCTCAATGCAGTCAGCTAGGTAAGTCTCTGAGGTCTCTCTCTCTCTCTTCTCTCTCTCTCTCATCTCTCTCTCTCTCTCTCTCTCTCTCTCTCACTACTCTCTCTCTCTCTCCACCTCTCTCTCTCGTATTCCAATCAGGGTGCAGCATGGTTGGCGTATCCAAAAGTATTGTCAAAGCGGTCCCCAATATACAGTTTTATGGATAGCCGCTGTTCAGTTATGGAAGAGTAGCTGATAAGTAATTCCTCCAGAGAAAAAAAAGCAAGAAGAGTCCTCAAGAACACCATAAACAAAATCGCTCCTGACAGTCGCACTGCACGCGGTCTCTGTGCAACTCCTGGCTCACGCAACGCTTTTTCGTACCTCCCAGTAGTAGATATCATCCAACGCAAAGAAAAGAAAAACAACAAAAACACCGACGGGAAATTCTGCGCAGAAAAAAACTTCCAAAAATAGGCGCACGAATTTAGGGTTGCGGTAGCGCGCATCTTCTAGTGCAGTCGAGCTTTTGCGCAGAAAATTGCATCACTCGTGCATTTTTACGCGTTTTGCCTTGCGAGATGGGTTGCATTTGATTGCATGTGCTCCTAGTGAATAAATGTAATAAAGGAAAACAAAATTAATTATGGGCACGAGCGTGGTCAGCAAAAATGGACTTACAATTCCGATTAATGGCCGCCGCCCCAACAAACAACAACTGAGCGGCCCGCCGTCAGAGGGCATCAGTAAGTGGACCGTCCACCCGAGCGGGCGTTAGAACTAGAACTTTCAAGGCTTTAGCACACTCCTCGCTCGCTGAATAACCGCGAGACTGGGGCAATGCCTTAGCTTGGGAGCTGCACTACTTGCACAAGGAAGGACGACCACGTCACTTGAGCGCGAAAGCTGTCTTTAACCTGTGTCCATACACCCTAAAATCCCTGCACTGTAATCGCTCATTGTGTCTCTGACGGGTTTAAGAAGTCCGTAAACCGTATCGGGTCACATTTGTGCCCCTTCCCTCGAGTTTCTGTATGTGCCATACAAGTGCTACGGTTGCTACTTGTTTAAGTTAGTACTAATATAATTAGTACCACACAATCAAACCTGACTCACAACAAAGTGATCACTTCACCAAACCCAAGCTATACAAAGTATGGTTGCCGTTTCGGACGTCGACGCCCATGATACGTCGCATTTGAGAGTTGCGCCAGATTGGAAGGCTAGCTACTCTGTGTGCACCAGATTCGCTACTATGCCACCCAGTCTGCTACCGCTCACTCAACTGCTACGTGATGCGTACGCGAGACAGCCTTACAAGGCAACTTTACGTTACCTTGATGCGAATAATGTGTTGTGCATGATGAACTTGATATGGAGTACCACGGATAATGAAGACCTGCGAAAAAAAGAAAAACAATTGAATATGTAGTTGTCGGTAAGCATGGCGTTCTAGAAAAAACCTTTTCTTGAGGATTCGGTGGAGGATCGCGAGATAACTCGCAGTGCGCGCCACTTTCTGCATTTATCTGAAAAAGGCATTAAATAGACATTAATCATTAATAATCATTCACTGGTACTCCTAAAGACGTAGCATGATGGCTGGGGGAGGGCGGTTGCTGCCGACGTCATTAGTGGAAGACCTGCGAGAGGGCGTTTGGTCATTGCCCATTCAGCACTTCCACCAATGACGTTGGCAGCAACTGCCAGCCCCTAACCACTGTGCCCACTGCTTGTGAAAACAACAGCGATTAACAATACGAACCTGTTTGATAGTCTCTCCTCCTTTACCTATAACGAGACCCGTCTTATTTGATGGGACATGCATATAGAAAGCCTGAAGTTGAGGTGTCTATAAAGAGTTTCAATGAAAAGTTGGATGTTAGTTCTTTATCTCATTTACATCCACTTCATTCTAACACGATGCAACAATACGTTGTTATTAAGCAATACAACACTAAATGCGAAATGTGAAAGCAATTATGGTGTTGTGTAACAGCAAAACCAACATTGGCACAATGTGCATTTTACATTCCGTGGAAAAAAAGAAAAGGATAATAAGCGACCAAAAACTTTGATAAGAATATTTTACAAGACTAATCAATACGTCCAACATAAATGGATACCACCTATGTATAAAAGTCGTTTTAGTTTTTTCTTGTTTTTTTGGAGTTGCACCAACTCGTTCGCACGCGTTCGACTAAAGAAGAATTTGAGGGGAAGAAGCAATGTGAAACACATGCCAAATGTATCGACCTACACCAAATCCATATTACAGGCCATCGAAAAAAGCGTCAAACTATGATTTTATAGAAAAAAATGTTAGTTGGTGAGGTGAGTGCATGCATTAAAAGACGAGTTGGTATTATTAAACTGTCCTGAAACACAAGGCACGCAAGACTAAATGTAACAAGGACAGACACAACAACACCTTTTCCGTGTTCATACTTCGTGGTATGAGCTATACAGTCGTGTTTTAATATCACATGACCGACCGCGCTATATCGCTAATGACTGGACTGTGCGTCGTCCAAACATTAGCAGTGTAGCGCGTTCGGCCACGCTGTTTCGAAACTGTGCGAATGATCAAAAAAGTGAAGTATGAACGCGGTCACAGGTAAGTTAGAAGACTTGAATCAAGCACACTTTCACAGCACTGAACAAGGGCACAAACGCACACACATACGTGAATAAGTTCTTTAACCAACCTCTGACTGACCGGTCATAAGTGAGCCACTACAGCTTTTATGAACCAGTTCAGTAATGAGCTCGGTAGCTTTATAAATCTGCTCTCTCGATCCCATAATAACAGCACATCGATCAGGAGATGTCGGATCATCTGAAAGAGTAGCAGAGTTGATCAACATAACACATTAGTTGATAGTAATGGCACCCATCACTGGAAAAGAGGGCGCCGTGTGCTTCGAGGGAGGCAATTCGACCTGCCAAGACCTGCAGTTTTGCTTGACACCCGGTAACCTGTGCGGTTTCGAACAGAAAGAGCTCTGGATTTGACGAGTAAGGTGAATAGATCCCATTCCTCTTTCCAAAGAATGCTTGTAGTGCATTCTCCTTCCATTCTTTGGCCAGATGCTGGTTTGATCACGATCAGGGTACAGCGTCGTTGTGTGAAACACATGGGGAATCGTACTTCTCGACTGGATAGGAGGTACTTTTCGGCTGGGAAGGGGGGGGGGGAGGCGTATTTGGTTGTTGTTGGGAGAGAGGGTGGGGTCGTACGTGGCTTTGACAGAAATTTGCTGCGTTGGGTAAAAACGTCGGACTTACCGCGTGATTTTTCCCGTTTCATGTATACTATTTACCACTCCCCCCTCGACATCGTTGTTGGGGAATCCCCAATAGGGGGTGTATTTGGCCGCCAGGAGAGGGGTCGTATTTGGGCTGGGAAACATTTATTTTGATATTTGATTTTTCCCGCTTCACGGACGTTGTAAAGGGGGGGGGGTCGTACTCGGTCATTGTTGGGAGGGGTGGGGTCGTGTTTACCTTTGACCTTTTGGGAGTGGCAGCAGTGGTGGTCAACCTTTCGCGATTTGCCATGTTTATGCGTACTATATACCCCCCCCCCCCGCTTGACGGTTCGATTCGAATGAGGAGGAAAAGAGGGTGGGGTGGGGGCCTACCAACCCTAAAAAAAAGGGGGGGGGGTCGTAAAGACTCGACTAAAACCCCCAACCTATGATGTGCCCTGCCTCGACAGCAAAATTTCTTGGTAAAAATAGGGGAATTTCCGGAAAATTCCGGAAAAAAAGTGGTTGAAAGTTGGAGAAAAGCTAGAGAGTATACCCCTCCCCTCCCCGCTCCACGGAAAATCTGTGGGTGAAAAACTGGAAAATGTGGGATTTTGGTAGGTAGCTGCTGAGGAGGAGGTCGTACCGAGACCCTCTCTCGAGAGGGGGTGGTCGTGCTGGCACCACCATTTACACATCACGATGCTGTACCTCGCGATTCTACGAGTCCAATCTCCCTAAACTACGCTCGCGCAGCGCAGCCGTTTACAGGTTATGTCAAGGTCAGGGATCAAGAATGGAATGAATCTGCACATAAAACATTTCAGCAGAGCATGAATGCATGTCTGTCCTTCCCTGATGAGCTCAGCCGCAAATAACCACAACTGGCGACATGTATACCTTCTACGATGAAGTGGGTGAACAACGACTCGGAACGCTTAACCACGATCGAGGGCAACTTGAAGGTTCTCCTCCTTCAATTACCACCTCACATCCCACATATCACCGTCCCCAATCTGTTCGACGAAACCACTTTGCACCCGATTCAGGGGACAGCCGCTTCGCCTCGTCAGCGCATGCCGCGTCGCGGCGGGCGCAAACACAGAAAACCCGCTCTTTTCGAACACGGTGCCGCGTTCTTTTCAAACTTCAAACTTCCCGCGCTAGGACCGAGAATTTCAATTCACCCGCGGCACGATTGATGCTCTGGATTTACAACGATGATTGATTTACGAGAAAGTGCACAGTGAGGATCATCTTTACCACTTCTTATGAGTTACACATGCAGCGGGTGATACATCGCCTTAATTTTAGGGGCTATAGCTGAGGACAACTACAATAGTCCCTCTTGTGAGACCAGCTATCGCGAATCTTCTATAATCCTTGACGAGCAGTTGATGAAAGAAATCGCTATAGACTTTTAATCTTTCTCTGGATAATACTATGTAGCTGGACAACCTTACGCCACAGATGATGAAGACATGAAGTGCACTTATGATACACATCCTCAACGATTTGTTCTTTTTGGAAAGCTCAAATGTTCTGCAAAAACTCGTGCAGCACAAATGTGCAAAACTTCATCAAGGTGTGTGCCCTCCTCTGCTCAACAGCTGATAAATCAGTAAATACGATTTTGCCTTTCGTTTTACTCGTGCACTTTTTATGCTTCGACTTCACCAAGGTGTGCGCCCTCCTCTGCTCAACAGCTGATGAATCCTCTTGTCAACCAGACGTGCTCTCGCAGCGAGGGTCCAGGAGTATTTTCACGAGGCATCTCTCTCAAGTCTAGTAGTTGAAGGGAGAAGATGAAGGAGGGATCAGAAAAGGAAGGAAGGAAAAGAAGGAGGAAGAAAAAAGGGAAGAGAAGAGAGGATTCCCGGTTGACAATGCCCTGAGACGGTACCAACTACAGCTGCAAATCTGCACTACAGGAGCCCCTCCTAAGTCAACGTACCATCTGCTTTGAATTGTATTTTCGTCCCCGTTTCCATCGCAAGCCGTTTTATGGTCTCTCCTCCTTTACCTATGATCATGCCAACACTGGCACGAGGGACGACTACCTGAAAGCAAACGTGAAACATACACTTTTAGTCCAGAAAACAGCTCAGGGAAACGGGCGGTATACAGTACCGCCGAACACTGCGTGTGAAACCAAATTTGCCGTCTCCGCGGATGCGCACGGTTTGGGATACCATGAGTGGTTAGTTGGGAGCTGCGAGTGAAGGCAGAAAGCCAGAGAACTTGGCCAGGAGCTGCTCCTACTCACTAAGCTCTACGCATAGTTTGGGGTTCTGTATACCGCCCTTTTTCCTGGACAAAGTGTTTCTTCCGAATAACCGTTATATCTCGTCTAGGTAACTTACCTCTCCCTTTGCTGTTGCTTGCTCTGAATATAGCCGGGGTATAGTGCCATTATCCTCCCGAGAATTGATAAGATCGGTTACTAACCGCTTGGCAAGTTCAACCTTGAACAGTACCGTTTTTGCTCTTTATTTAGTAGTTTTTCTACATATGTCTATTTCTTCTTCTAATTGTACATCATGGTTTCTTTTATGATTCATACCTTGTCGGGTTCTCCTGTTATACGTAATGGTTTTGACTGTCCAGTTACTTCTTGTGAATCTTGTATCATAACCATTTTGCAACCGGCTTGTTCCTATAGAACCGCATTTGACCGCTGCGATAATTGAGAGAACTATCATGTATTTTATACCTGTAGCTGTTTGATCGTCTCTCCCATCTTTCCTATGACAAGACCACATTTCGTTGCTGGTATAGTCATTTCAACAGTGATGGCACGACCATCTGTCGGGGCATAACTCTGGGTTGGTGGACGTGAAGCTGCTCTTGTGATGACATCGGTTATCATTTGCTTGGCCCTTTCTACCGATATCTGAAAGGGATGGTAATTAGGGGTCTCTGGCGTCATTCATGTCAAACCGTTTCAGGATGAGCCTCCGGTATCAATTACTATCCTTGAGTGCTACATCGCCAAGAGCATCGCCCAACACCTATTGTGTCATTTATGGACCTCATATGAGTGGTCATCTCTGTCACCGATCGATCACGACAGTTTTGAAGATTTCTGGTGAAAGAGGGAAGAGGAGGGCATAGGGAGTTGCCAGGTATTCCAAGCTCCAACTGCCAACGTAGATTAAAGTGGACTGCCTTCACCTCGAACTTCTCTCAAAGATGATCACTATCCTCACAAGGGTCCCTTAAAGCGCAGCTTATTGTACCGACCTACCTTGCTTCCTTGAAGTGTGCACTGACGGACGCCAGTGCCAGGGTCGCCATCCGGACTCATTTGAACTCGACAACCCGTGGTGCTTTGGATATTTTGGATCTCTGAGCCGCCTCTACCGATAACTAAAAGAGACTATTCAGAGTTAGAGTATGCAATTTACCCGTCCACTCTTCTACATCGATACACCTACCTAAACCTAGCTGTGTTCTCTGGAACACTGATGATTTCTACGACAGTTTCTGCTGCACTAGCAACTGTCGGAATCATCGACGTTGGCGCCCCGAATCCCATTTGTTGCACCATCCCGCTTCCATCCATGGCTCCCTCGATGTTGCTCCTCTTCACGGGATTCGCTGAAAATGCTAAACAATATTATTATTGGTAAGAAAAAATTAAACTTACATCCAATATTTTTAGTGACTTAAAAATATGGACAATAATGCAAAAAAACCGGCATCACTATTATTCGAACAAAAATAACAGCACGAAAATTGAACCAGGCGACGCACGCTCAGAGTCTTCAGGATAACAGCGCTTCAGTGTTGGATTTGTAGTAGTGTCGGCACCAGAATGCTAAACAACATTAGAAATCGTGTCAACAGAGGGTTCTAGTTTACGAACCAAATAAGAAAAAAACCCAACAAATTATAATAATAATAATGACATTAACGAAAAGAATTGAATAAGTTCTATATACCACCGACAATATAGCAATTATTTCTTCAACATTATACCAAGCCACCAAGTGAAATTTGTCATACAAAACCGCGCGCAATTTCGTGTATAACGAAACAAAAAATCACTCATATACTATTATACTGCACTGCACAAGTTGATGACGTGCCAAAGCAGCGTCACCCCACTTCAATAGCATGGTTTTCACGAACAGAAATTCGAAACGCAGAGAAACTGTGGATCAAAATTCATAACTAACATGAATCGCGTAGTACTGCTGTTACGGCAAATCTCGGAAAACGTTTATTTTTCCGCTTCATCAAATAATACCGACCGAAAACAAGAAAACCGAAACGAGACACCCATAACGGCAAATCATTGTGAAAAATTGTACGCAAATTGCAACCGTTCAAAGCACCAATTTCGTTTATTCATAGTATGTAACGACGTGGAACGAACGCAAATTATCTCATGACTCATTCACCCATCCCAAACAAGCATCACCGATATACGAATCAACCACGTCACTTACCCATTTTTTGTTTAAAATTATTTAAATTCTTACCTCTCTAGCACGAAGGAGAGCGTCTAGAGCGTCGTGGACAGCTTTTTCTTCGACTATACCTCCAGACATACCGCGTATACGGCCATAGGATGGAGGGTGAGCAGTCGTTGACACGAAAAGGGTCACAATGAGCGGAAAGAAACGCGACGCGAACGCACGCTGAACAGAGATTCCAGCTAGAGGAAGGTCGCCAGAAGGGCGTACGGTGGAGGCAATTCAAATATGAGACGCGAAAAAGACTTAGAGTATTGATACAAGAAGCCTGGACAACGATGGACGTCAAGATGCCCCGGAAACGATAGAGAAAAACTCGAAAGAACCAGACAATTTTACGAACTGACAGCTTTTTCCAGTGTTACGAAACGAGAAGTGGATCGATAGTTCCAGCTATGACTCAGGACGCTGCCGGCTTTCGAATTACAACGCGCTTGGTGGGGGCACGCGCTACTTGCCACTATGGAAGAGGGAATGCCTTACTCCGAGGTACGCACTTCAATGTAACGGATAGATCTATGTAAATATAGCATGAATAGTTGTGAAAAACTCTTGGGCATCAAATGCGCTGTATATCCCAGCCATGTTATGACAATTACCTCTCATAAACCTGCTCTTTTGTATGAAAATCCAGTGAGAGTCACCGTATTTCACTGTCTCAAAAGTATAGCATCTCTTCCTGGTAGGGTTGATTCACGACACAGAATTGCTCATAGAAAATCTATGGTCAGCCTCGATTCTTTTCACACTAGAAAAGTAGAAGTCATGCTAGACTGACTCGAAGAATTCATCGTTTGCCAACTATACTGGTATATTACGACAAAAATGACCATTTTTAGTGAATTCAGGATCTTTGAGTTGCATGTTCGCACCATCTAATTGTTCTATAAACTCCATCCAACCATTCAATCGACTCCGCGTCATCCGAAATGGAGGACAAATGCACGGCGCACACCACATAAGGAGAGGGTGCTGGATGGATATGCTGGGTCTACGATAGGTTGCCGCTCATATTGTTCCTCTATGTTTGCAGGGCCTAAGTAGTAGGGTGATGATGAGATTGACGATGATGAGAGGTGCTGAAGAGATTACCAAGAATTTCGGAAGTCTTTCTCGAGCATCGAATTTGATTTGCCTCCACTGCTACAAAAGAAGGAACCACATCGAGTGGAACGAGTTGACTTCGAGCGATTGATGAGAACCATTCGAGAAGAAACACCGAAAGGATCACAAGAACGGAAATCGGAACATGCCTCCAGTCGATTTCAAATTGCGTCAGACTAGGTTGCATGGGTTAGTGGGATAGAACAATGAGCGGACGAAGAGATCCTCAAGGGTGACCCCATAAAGTGGCTCTGGGTTGTTTCTATAATCGATGATAAGTGGAGGGCTGCCCTAACCCTATCGGGACATCTACCTGTGGCTGAGTGGCTGTGTCACGATCAAGCCGCAGGTATCTAGGAAAACAGTGGTTGAGAAATAATCCAGTCATCAAACGCTAGGATTGACGGGACCCATCAAAAGAGAGTCATGCTCACACCACTATCTAAACTCACACCACTGTCTTCCCACACTCATGATCAGGAGAGCTTGAACATCCAAGGCTGCATGCAGCTCTGAGCCCATCACCATTACCTAGTATACTGCGGCTGACCTCGAGCTCTGCGAGGAAAACCTCAAGTTCATACTCTCCCAGGGGAAGCTGAAGCTTTCCCAAAGGGACCTCATTCTCCAACTTACCCAGGTGTTTTTATGCCTACTTCCACCTATTCCTTGCAAAGAGGGTCCTATAAGGCTAAACAAGTCCACGTGGACTGAAGTCCGCACGAATCTATGCGTAGGAGAACCTCATGCAGACGTTTTCCTTTGGGAGCTAGGGTCAGGGTCCATTGGAAGACTAAACTGAGCGCTATTGTTCTTATAACCCAAGGAATGAGGCTATCAAGAACAGAGAGCCCTAAGAATAGCGTGAGGTCAGGAGGTAGAAATAACAGCGACAATGACCGATAAAAAAGAAACAAGACGACGCCAACGTTTTGAGGACAATGTGGGCGCGAGCGGGGCGACAATGAAAAGCTTTGATCTCGAATCGATCACAGTGCACTTATCACTGCCTTAATCTCGAGGACTAACCAGCAGTCTCCGGAAAAGGACCACAGGCCTAGAATAACTAGTGAGTGTGTGCCGATACAACCAAAATTAAGCACCTGGCAAAAGGCTTCAACCGAATACCATTCGCATGATCAATTCGTAGTTATCGATAAGTGATCGCCATCGCCTGATTTGATCTCTGAGTTCGATATTCCTCCCGCCTTACTGTAGGGGTCGTACGCGTAAATATTCAAAAGCCCTACAAAGCTGACAAAGTTCGTGAAAACTGACGAGGAAACGAGTTGGAAACATAAGTAGTCCAGTAATTAAGCACTCTAGATTCCAAAAGAAGAACCACGGAATAGTTCTACAATTTCAGCTAACTGCAGAGAAACCGACAGCACAACTCATTCTAAGTCGTCACGCGAAGACGAATTCGAATCAGGACCGGATGAAGGGAGCTGCACTGGAAAGACTTCCACCAACAAATGTCCTACTAGAATCTGAATGTGGAATTTAATCCCACGACATGAACGTGCTTGGATAGCAGCTTTTCCTAGGTGTGCGACTGCGGCTTATTTGGCTTTCACTGCTAGGAGAACATCGTCGTTCGTAATTCCAACTGGCTCACTGATAGGGGAGCATCGTTAGTTTGTAGTTCCCCCTGCCCATGGTCGTTGAAGAAATCTAGAAAAAAATCTTCTGCGCCTGTTTCTGCGACCAAAGCGGCTCCAGCCGCGGCCGCGACTGAACGGCTGCAGGGTCCATAATTCTAAATCTACATACTTCAGCTCTGCTGCGCCTCTACTACCAAGTTATAAAGGGTACTTTTCGAAATGAAACACTTTGTATGCGAAACAAATAGTTCCATTACCATATGAAGATTCTGGAAATAATTAAGAAACAAAAACAAATAACAAAAACTCACCGAATAGTCGTTGACACCGTACATTCAATATATGAGTTAGTGGACAAGGCCGGTTGTATGACAGCCCTACCAAATATACGCCTTTTGTACTTCCCCACCTGTCGCCAATCGAATTGTCAAGATCAAATTTTTAGCACCCAAAATTACTTGCAACGGTTGCAATTCACGTACTTACAATATATCCGCACAAAGGGGAAAACGAGAAAAAAATGAACCGCGCACGAAAAAAGGAAACGAATGGTAACGAAATAAAATATATACGGACATCTGTACACATGCATTCCGACGAGTACATATACAACCCAATAATTACAACTCGACAACAAATATAACGCGAAACATCCACAATGGAATCATGAACGGGGGCCTAATTTTTTTTTTCAAAAAAGGCTTACCATAAAATCTGTAGAAATAAGTAAAAGCATAACAGTACCTGTTTTGTAATCCGAATCGTTCAAGTTGATCGTGTTGTCCTTCGCACTGTCATCACTGGTACGGTTTTGTTTTTTAGCTGCTTCCTGAAATCAAAGAAGTTAAATCCGAAGGTTCATGGATAGCCAGAAAGCGTCAGAAGGGGAAATTGTCAAGGATAGTCCAATGCTGTACTGCAGTTCCACGTGAAGTAAGCATTGGGAAGCAGTATTTGTACAAAAACATCCCTTGATCAAGGTATGGAAACAAAGCAAATGCGTGCCTGTGCGGCTCTTTATTGGTCAATTGTGCTTTGTTTCTGGATCAACTACGCCACTATCGTTCGAGCGTGGGAAGCGCGACCATCCAATAACTTCTACCGACTTTCAGCGCCTT